AAACACTGCCTATGCTAGGGTTCCCAATGTTGTTAATAGCTTTCATTATTGAAAGTTTGCCTTCCATATTCCCTAGCACATGCCAGAAAAGATGCCATCCACACATTATCCTCCATTTACAGTCTTACCCAGGACCCTGTTCCCCCACTGAGAACACTATTTTGAGCAGGTTACTCAGAATCTAATCCATTTAGCATCCCAGTATCATTCAGAAACACTGCTCCCAACAAGAGACAAGATTATCCTCTCTCACATTCTAATATACATCCATTTCTACCCTTTTTCAAATTTATTAAATTTATTTTCTAAGTTTATTAAAGACAGACAGAACAGACAGACCATAAGTTCCTTGGAGCAGCAGCCATCTTATCAGATATCTGTACTACCAAGCACAATACCCTGCAGTCTTAATCAGGGCCTGGGGAAATATTTCAAAATACATTAGACACATCACCACTCTTCCACCAAAAACAGCCACTTAATCTGACTACACAGGGCCTAATACTCAAAGTTACCTTATGAGAAAGGTCCAAGACCCATTTATGCATCAGGCAGACCCTTAGTTCTAAAGCTGAACAAAAAACACATTTCTAATTCATAAACAACTTGGAAAGATAATTTTTTGTTCAATAAAAACAACTAGCAAACATCTCTCAATAAGTATACGGAAGCTACAAAGATACATGCTATTAAAATTGACTGACAACACTGAGAATAGTTTCAGAGTGAAGTTTTTGAACTACAACCTAGACTTGATCACTTACATAGCGTCCTAATAATTTTAATATAAGATTTTTATAATATACAATAGAATTTTAGAGAATGTTTCACTTAAACACCAAATATTAAACAATGCAAAATTTACAAACAAAAACAAGTTTTAACTATTCCCTATTACATATGCATGATAGTTTATTGCAGGGATCCAAGGTGACAGAACTACAACCCTCTTCTTCCCTATTTCCACAAAAAGTTGGCAGTGCCGAGAGAGATCGGGAATGGAATTAAGTGAAGTGCTTATAACATTTTTGCTGTATTCAATATTACCGTGTATGAAAATCCTGGGCGTTTCTAGCAACACAAATGCACTATTATGCAAGTAGACAACGCCCATATTACTAGAGTCGCTATTTACAAACATTTTTGGAATTCAAAGCAGGAGCACATCAAGGTGCAGTTAACACGTGTGGACAACTCAGGGCACTAGCAGGCCAGAAAGGGAGGCTACATTCAAAAATTCCTTCTTCACATCCTTACAAATTTAGACATGTCCAAGAAAGTTTCACTTACGCTCTGTGATCTTATGGAGAGGCTAAATAAGTACAGAAAGGCTGAATCCACAGGAAGGCTGGCAGCACATAAAGGCAGTGCTGGCTATTTCATGTTTCACAGAACTTCGTCTAAACCCCCAGAGCCAGGGCCTTGGTCTGTCACGGAGCATCGCACACGCATGCACGCATCTCCAGCTGCCAAGTACTTAGCAGCATGCAAAAGTGTCACTGTAGACTGCCTCTTCACGAGACATGGGGGCGCTGCAGCCGGCTCCCATATACCACGGGAGCGCTCAGGGCACAAGCCGGGGCCACCCGCGAGACGGGCCACCCGGCAAGACACCTGCAGAGGAAGGAAGCCTCCGGGCTCTTCGCAGCGGGGACCGCGAGGGGAAAGCG